TTAACTAATTAACGGGTTAGATCATTTGGGCATGTTTTCCTACAATTACGAGGTACTACCAATTATTACAACCTCATCAGAATAAAAAAGAAAAAACACGGAGGAGAACAATAAACGGTGGAGGAAAGACTTCGCATATCAAAAGCTGGAAAACATGAAGGCTTTTTATATATTCCTGTTTATGAGCGTCGGCCACCTAATCATGAGGCATATATGACCTCCCCCCCCCCCCCCCCCCCCGCCGCCGCCGCATGAGACCTTCATAAGCCGGTTAAATCTGTATTTGAGCACATTTCGTCGAAACCGGTATCTGCCCCATGATCCATGATACATCCAGGTATTACATCACTTGACCCCATCCAAGAAGGTACTCCCTCGGGTTTCGAGGATTTTGAGAAAGTTAAGTGGCATGACTCAAACACTAAATACTTTTCTAGCAGAACCCTTAATAGTTAATACTATCAGGATGGTTGGTGAACTCTAGCAAAAACATTTGAAAAAACAAACAAATTCGTCGATCAATTCTGGGGAGCTTATACAAAAATTGATCAGTATAATCATCACTGCACGTTGAGAAAGTTTCTTAAAAGTACACAAGGGCTTGGATTGATCACATTCTCCTCTCTTTTCTAAATTTTATTTGGCTCTTCATCAAAATGATGAGCAAGCATCATATAGAAGCTCTAAGCCAGTAAGTCTCTAACATTATTACTTTTAGTGTGAATGCAGGAAACTGAGAGACCATATGTATGCAGCATACAAAAGCTTTATATCACTAACAATTTGACTTTTGTATGAATGCCAGAAACTCAAATGGTGCTTGGTGCTTCTCCTATTAAGAAGAAGAGAGCTAAGATTTGAAAGGAATAAAATTTATTGTTATCTTAATTTACTGTGAAAGTGCATATGTAGAGTCTACAAGGAAGCAAAACAAAGAGAGTTCATGAGATAAAAAGCATTAACCAGAGCATGCTTGGAAAGTTAGTACAGTTTTCAACTCTAAAGACTATACAGTGGTGAACCAACTAACCTTAATACACAAGGGAAAATCTGTCAAATAATTAAAGAGCTTACTTGCTGAAAGCCAATACCAAGATTTTCACATTATGTATCTCTAGTAATCAACAAGTTGGATCTAGCAAGAAGATGAGCAACCATGGACTTATGAGAACACGATCTTATGAGAGAAATGAAAACGAATTTGGACCGTTAGATTTGCTTCAAGTGAAATTCAGTGTGCATCAGATGAAACTGTAATGTGCATTAAGTGAAATTGAAATGTGCATCACAAAGGGTACGATAGAGTGGCATTATGTGCAGTTGAATTGTGCATTACGTGAAATTGAAATGTGCATAAGGTGAAACTAAAATGTGCAGAATAAAAAGTACGATGCGATGTCATTTTTGTACTTTTTTTCCGCACATATCAGTTTCATCTAATGCACACTTGAGTTTAAATTTTTATTTTGCACATTTCAATATCATTTAATGCACATTTCAGTTTCACCAAATGCACAATTTGGTTCCACCTAATACAATCCAACGGTCCAGATTCGTTCTCATTTTTCTCCTAAGATCTGTTCTTACCGGAACCGCTCCCTATATATATATATATATATATATATATATATATATATATATATATATATATATGTATATATATATACTAGCAAGGCACGCGCCATGCGCGAGGCTATATGCCCAATCCAAAGTAAAATGATGTTTAAGTAGCGATTGAATATTGAATTTTAACGATGGCAGAATTATGAGTTAGGAAAGAAATGTTTCAATTGATTTTGAAGGAATGGGCCAGGAATTGATCACGAATGTATATAAGTCTAGCGGCTAGTCCCATAGCTAATGTGTTGATCTCAGATTTTGAAGGAATAATCAAGGCAACTTCTCTAATATTTGAGCAGATACTAAGGCACAGATCATATGAATAATTTGAGCAGTTGTGATGATAATCAACAATAGGTATTTTACAAGACAAAAAAGCAGTTTGAATTTTACTAACCATAAGTATATTACATATTACAATAAGTTTGACAGGCATATGCAGCCAATTACACAAAAGGGACAGCATAGTTAGTGCAAAAACATCTATATTTATATATATGTAAAAGTAGAGGGGCAAGCCATGGTCTACTTTCCAATCAATTATAGGCATAAGTTTCATCTTGCATCAAAAGATAATATACACAGGGGATACAAAAGACCCATAAGTTAATGAGTTAAAACAATCACTCCAGAACAAAGAGCAATAATGTCAATCATGGGGAAGATGAGTAATCCGAGCTTGTTTTTGTTGCAGAGGAGTAGCAGCCAAGTGTTTCAACAAGATGGGGAAACTGGTGGGAGTGTTGTTTTTGGATGAGCAAACCATAATGCAATGATAATTTATGATAATTTATGATAATTTGGGGTGGGGTTGCTTGAAGAGACAAAATAATTTATTCATGTTCATTTTAACTAAGAAGCTCATCATCATCACCATCATTACCCCAAAGGCTCCCACACCTTCGATGGGGAAAGGGGAGTCGGATGTACGCACTAAAATGAGGCATCACGAAAAATATTAGAACCAATGGGAGAACATAAGTGCATCAATTTATCATGTGACCCAGATTTTTTCTGGAATAAATCCCCACAATATAAATTTATAAACTATAAAATATGATCAGTATCCCAGACTGTAATTAAAAACTTTATTAATAAAAATCGTTTTTAGACTGGACTTTTTTGAAGAAAAAAACTGTTTTTTGTAACTGGAATATATTTATGTAGTATAAATTAATTTCTAGACTTTCACATAGTTTGTATTAACTTTATAATGAAATTATTATTTTTTACCTATTTACATGCACAATAACTATTTTAATTATTTATTGTACTAAATAAAAAAAGTTTTTACCACTTAAGCTAATGGATCATAAGCAATTAATCACAAAACTGAGCAGGCAGACTCCTACGTCAGATTAGAATCTCAAATACACGACTCCCACTAAAACTGTTGCTAACTTGCTACTCATCAATGGCCCCTAAAGCTATATTATAGCCAAAAGTCCATAACACATTTTCTTCATAAAGGAACTGAAGAAAGCAGCTATATAATCCGGAGTAGCATCTTTCAAAAGACACTATTCCAAATGAGTACTGTCAAGCAATTTCAATTAAATATAGCAGTTCTTTGACAAAAGACCATCCCAAAATGGGTTTTTCCATCTACTATTAAACTATGTATACGAGGGAACCTCTGCTATCCACTTAAAATGTAAGGATTGCTTAAGAAGACACAACTCAAATAGGCTATTATTGTACTCTTCAATCTTTATCGCAGTTAAAAATCTACCTGCCAAAGATCCCAAGAAGAATTAAAATACATGGGCAATGAATTACAATAACAATAGATAAATTCACACTGAGTTCCAACACTTACCTTTAAATCTAGTTTGGTTTTATGGATTATAGTTAATCCATTTTTGGATGAATGCCAAATAGACTGTTAAATACACAAAGTATAGTGTTATCACAAAGCCCGGGCTAATTTTATGGAATTATAAACATGAATGCCCCCATATGTGAATGCATCGAGTCCCTCTATGGCTCTATGGATTGTTTACTTTTTTTAGTTATTTTGTCCTAGATGTGCATTTTTTCAAGCAAACAAATAGAAAAATAGCAGTAGCACTTTTTATTCTTAAACTCTAGGCCTGGCTCAAACGGAAAGCAACAAAAGGAAAACAGTTGTGGACAATTATTAGTATTCAACAGACATACATTGATTCTGAACTTCTACTAAAAACCCAAAGCAACAAAAAAAGTAAATTTATCATAGATAATAAACCTCCAAACAAACCAGCTACCCAATTCCATCCCCAAATGATAGAAATCCCTACCTAAAGTCCCTGAACAAATGAAAACACAATAGCAAAAGCTAAATCCGGAATAAAAACACAATAGGAAGAGCAAAGCAATTCAGGTCTGCAGACATTAATGGCGATTTTCAGAACATTCAAAACAAAATCAATGGCACCTACCAAGAACTGAATGGACAAAGGAGATAAAATGATTGTGACCTGGCCTTCAGTATACAATAATCCATAAGTAGGGATGTTCTGAGCATGATGAGTGTGGTGATCAACTGGAACAACGTGCCAGAGGTCGGACGGAAGGAGAACAAGAAGGGGAGCTCCAATAGTGGGGCTGACAAGATAACAGTAGGTTTTTTTTTTTTACCAAGAGATAACAGTAGGTTGAGGATGGGCATACAATGGAATGATTTCTCATGGAATAATTTTTTTTAAAAACGGGAAATAAAATCTCAGACGGACGTGAGGAATAGAAGCGACGGAAGTGTGTTTAACGGAAAATGGGTGGAAAAAATGAAACGGCGTTGAAGTGCCCTTTTATAAGTAGGAGATATACGTACACACCCACACCCACACGGAAAACCAAAGTATTTTACATATACGGAATCGAATACCAAATTTTCAAAATTATACGTGCCGATTACCGAATCGGAATTTCAGTTAGGTATTTGGTACGTACCAAAATTTCAGTATCGGTTTGGTTCGATCAGTTTACCGAACCAAACACCCCTAAATCATTCTTACTTTAATTTAATATCAACCACATAAACTCGCTTTTCTTAAATTTGGGGAATTCTTTCTAGATTAAATTTGTATGATAAAAAAAACTTTCTCATTCATTTTTTTAAATTTTATAAGAATAAAAAAATTGATGGGCCAAACGTATAGTTCTTCAACAAAATTAAAAATGTAATTAGAATTGAATGGCCAACATTTATATTGTCCATTCAATTATATTTATATATTAAAATTATAACAAAATATATTAAAAAGTTATATTTTTTAATCTTTCACAAATGCTCCGTTTTTTATTAGTATAATATAATAACAGCAATAAAAGTTAAAAATAGTTGCTATAATAATTATTATTGTTATAAAGCTATTTATTTTTAATAATAATAGTGCAAGGTTTCAAAGAATAGATACTATTTGAAGGCAATAGTAACACAACGTCCATTATTTTGAGTCGGTATCAAGGTCGTGACTCCTCGGCATTAATGAGGGTTCAAATCCCCTTGTAGACAAATTTTTTTATGAAAAATTCTGGGTAGGAGTCCAGAATAGGCTAAAAAGCTACTCCGTATAAAACATTCTGGTACGTGACCTTGTGTAATAAAAAAGAAAATGAAAAAAATAATTATGAGAGAAAAAGTAAAGATGACTTGTTATTAAAGGTCACCTTTTGGTGTTTAGACTCAATTGATGTTTTCGTAAAGTAGATGAGTTTATATGATGTGTTTTATAGTAAATGATTTTAAGAGACTGATCTGTAATTGTACAAGGGTATATTTGATCATTTTTCCTTTTTTTTTTCTATGGGTTCCCAGTGAACTAAACAAGTGTTGAAAGTTTCGTGGGAATCTAAACAAGTGTTGAAAGTTTCGTGGGAATCGTGGCGGTGTATCATGGTGAAGTAGCATGGTAAGCACACAAAAAATAGCCTGCATTTAATGCATGTATATATTTCTATTTGAATGGATTCGTACATAAAAGTTAAAAGGGTTTTTACAATCCCCCAAACATCCTGTTTTTTTTTTACTTTTGCAGCTCAGCTTACAAAAGGCAATAATCAGTCTTTTAAAGATTCCAATAGACCACTAAAGTTTGAAGAGTCATGCTTGGAATTGGCTTATAAAAAGGTACTACGTATATCAGTTGAACAGGGTTCGTTCGGGTCCTCAAATGTTAATGCACTTAGTCTATTGGTCCAGCCTTTTATTAAAAGTGTACTAATGCAGTTTTTTATCCCTAAATCTTCGAAGACAGTAAGACACAGAGCTAGCAGGGAGTGATTTAGTGCACACATTGATACCACTTGTAAGTTTTAGTCACTCAAAAATTTAATGAAAGGAGGAAGGAAACCTAAGGTCCTAAACCGGAATAATCAACGTTACAGTTATAGCATGGAGCAATTGTACTCATAGATTTGTTTTCTAGTAATTTTATTACTAATTCTGATTTATATGATCTTTTGGGTTACAAAATTTCAAGACTGGGAGAACAAGGGGAACATGAAACCTTACCCATCATGAAACTTAATGTGGCTGCATGTGAAACACCTCACAAACTAAGAGTATTAGAAAGTTAGTAACGGGGGTGTTAGAAAGTAAGGATGGTAAGGGATTGTTGAATTTTCATTAATGTAGTATGCAGGGACGGATCCAGGATTCTGAGTCAAGGGGGGCGAAATTTTTCGTAAGTGTAAGGGGTGAATTTTTTTCGTTAGTGTAGTGGGGTGAAATTTTTTCCCGTAGTGTAGCGGGGCGAATTTTTTTCGCTACTGTGGGGCTATGCGGCTATTTTTATTCAAAAAATGACATTAATACATGCACATCCCGAACGGCATTTAAATCTAATACATTTTAAGTTTAGACGATGACAAAGACATCAACCAATACATTTTTAATAACTTCTACATTGTTTAACCTCATAAATCAGTTATTGAATTGTAATTTTTATCCACCAAGGAGGGTGTTCGTGATTCATGACTCATGAGAAATTTTCTTAATATTACAATAGTAGTATACTAGTATGTATGAGATTGTTATTTTTAGAATAATGTGCACCACATACACACACATATATATGCCGCATATTATATTTTAATATTTTTATTAATTCTATAATAATTTAAAGTTTATTATCCATGCAATAAATTATTTTTAGAAACCAAGAAGTAAATGAATTATGTAATCTAATGTCTATAAATATTTATATTTTGGATTCATTTCACGTGATCTAAAAATTGTGTAATTAGTGTGTCTGGTATTTAATATTGTTTGATATATGTTTTACAAAATCCAGTACTTGTTATCTAATAAAGATAATTAAACATTACAAAACTAGGAATTCTTATATAATAAGTATCCTAAATCTTAAATAATGAGTTACTCTATTGTTTATTTGTTTAAGTTATGTAAATTATTTTAGATGTTTATTCTTTCAAATCTCCAATTAAATATTACATTATGTAAGACTATATACTAACTTTGAAAATTAAAAGCTAAGGAGGGCGAATCTAATTAAATTGTGAAAGTTTTATGAAAATATTAAATATATGGTAAAAAATTTTGAATGTCCAAGGGGGGCGGTCGCCCCCCGCCCCCCCCCCCCCCCCCCCCCCTAAATCCATCCCTGGTAGTATGTGTACTTTTTTAGTTAATTCGTATTTTCAGATTCTGTGTAAAGTAAGGTTGTAAGCTTCTACCAGTTATATCTTAGGTAAGTTGGTTTGTCAAACTCACTGGACTCCAAATAGGATTAGTTGAAAGCTGTACATAAACTCACTGAAAAATTGTCATAAAATGCAAATAAGCTTTACTACACAGTATTCATAAACTCTCTGTACATACGGCTGCATGTGAAAAATGCATGGGCTTGTTATAATGCCTCATTATAACACCTCGCAAACTAAGAATGAAGCAAGCATAGGCTTGTTATAATGCCTCATTTAACTACTAAAAAGTGTAAATACACTTTGGTTCCAGGAAGTGTAAGGGTGGTAAAGGGAGGGCAAGTGTTGGTGTGAAAAATAAACTTATCTTATTTATTGGTGTTAGTATCAAGAAAAGACCCATTTTTTATCAGAAATATAGACGTATGTATATAGTTAATATCAAGTAAAGACCCAATTTTTTCCAGAATAGTCCTTAGTTTGACTACAGGATAGTTCTTAGTTTGACTACAGGACAGTCCTTAGTTAGTATCTATCCCCTTTGTTTTTCCCTTTTCCCTTCGACTCCCTTTGTTTTTCCCTTTTCCCTTTTTCTTTCCCCTCCGACTCCTTTTTTCTTTCCTTTTCCCTTCGACTCCCCCTCTTCCCTTCCTTTCCCTCGACTCATGCCCCCCCCCCCTACCAATATAAAGTAAAACTTGAGAAACGGTCATCGTCATGATCATCTTAATATCAACTAGTTGGGAATTGGGATTGGTGGGATTAAATTTATAACGACATAATTTATGGAGCTGAGATTAGTTAACAACTGAAAACTATAAATTCATGCAAAAAAAGCAAGGTGACAAAATTTTAAGCAAGTCCCATTGTTGCAACCCTCCTGTGAAGGAAGTACGAATGAATGATGAGATGCATTTCTAAAACCATCATGGTAGCTCATTTCACTTGCGTGGAAATATCATGCCTTTATGAGACATCATGGTAGATTTGTCTATTCGCTGGAATAGTACTTATAAATTACTTAAAGTTGTTCTTAGATATAAAGAACATTTTCCTGTTTTTTTAAAACAACATGATAACTATATTATAAACTCGGCTAAGATCGACACTTGCGAAAAAATTTGTAATGTTTTGATATGTTTTTTTAATGCAACTGAAACTTTTAGTCATGTTTATAAACCTACCGCAAACCAAGTTATTCGTGAAGCTGTTAATCTCGCCAGTGCTTTTAGAGAATTTGAGAATGCCGTTTACGTGAGTTATTTTTGTGATTTTATGAAGGAAAAGTTTTTAAAATATTATACACATATTCCGCATATTTATGGTATTGCATTTATTCTCGATCCTCGTTTTAGACTAGCTAATTTGGAAGATTGTTTCAACTTCTATTATCTTGCTTTTTTTGGTAAATTTCCAATGTATGACGATAACCCCATAGATCCGAAAACGGAATACAACGAGGTTAGTGCTTTATTTTATGCCTTATTTAATGAGTTTCGTGCATAATATGGCAACGCGCCCCCTCCCCCGACACGAACATCTTCATCTAAAGGAAAATCTATTTTTAAATCTGCATTTGGCAATCTTATGAAAAAAACTAAAACAACTCACGTTACTGAACAAAACACCGACACGGCGGGTGACCCGGCCTGAACCGGCACCGGCCGAAAGACGGGCCGGTCCTGGGGCCCCCATTCCAGAACCGGAGGCCCGGCCCGGACCTGACCCGGCCCGAGTCTAGGCCTACATACAAATCAAGGTTGTTAAAATCGTATTTTTTTATCGAATCGGTACAAGGATTTGAAAATCGAATCGTAAAATCGAATCGTAAATCGGAAGATTTTACAAAATAATTAAATATAATAATTAAAAATGTTAACTAAAAGGAAAACTCAGAATTTAACCTTATTAAGTTTAAGTCATACATTGATGTGTTAATTAAAGTGAACAAAATAATTAATAACAAATCAATGTCATATAATCAAAGAAGAAAAGTCAACAAAAATAAAAATTACGGAGTATGTTTTAATCAAAATTCGCAATGAATCGTATATGAATTGCAGAACTTATATAAATATCCGTATGTTTATTTTATTTTGTAGAATATTGAATAAATAATTTAATAGTTAAATTTGAACACAAAGTTTTAATTTACGTTTTGTTTATTTGGTTTGGTTAAGCAATATGGTTGTGTGTAGGCCTCTAGGGTTGGGCATGGGTTTGATATCCGGCACTGCTGGTTTACGTTTTAAACAAAAAACTTGTTTACTCATCTTATAGACTTATACGGAGTTTCATTATTCCCACACCGGAAGAGCTTAGGAAATTTCCATCCTCCCTTGCCTAATGCCTATATAACCGTTGAGCTTACTTATCTTCTTTCAGCCAGCGAGTATTTCGTTCAACCTGCCTAAACGGCCAGATGTAATCGGCTGAGAGATTGGGCTGGGTTATGGCGAGTTTTAAAGTTAAATTTAAAGAATCGGGGAAATCGTTTGCAATCGCGATTTGAGGCGATTTTAGCGATTCAAAAACGATTTTTTAACGATTTTTTCTAATTCCGATTTAGTTAACGATTTGAGTCGGTTTAATGAGTTTAGATCGTAAAATCGTACGATTTTACGATCTAAATCACGATTTTAACAACCTTGATACAAATACACACACACACACGGAAAACCAAAGTATTTTATATATACGGAATCGAATACCAAATTTTCAAAATTTTACGTACCGAACACCGAATCGAAATTTCGGTTAGGTATTTGGTACGTACCAAAATTTCAGTATCGGTTTGGTTTGATCGGTTTACCGAACCAAACACCCCCTAATCATTCTTACTTTATTCTTATTTTATTAATTGAATATCAACCACATAAACTCGCTTTTCTAGATTAAATTTGTATGATAAAAAAAACTTTCTCATTCATTTTTTTAAATATTATAAGAACCAAAAAAATTGATGGGCCAAACGTATAGTTCTTCAACAAAATTAAAAATGTAATTAGAATTGAATGGACAACATTTATAGTTATAGAATTGAATGGACAACATTTATATTGTCCATTCAATTATAGTTATATATTAAAATCATAAATAATGTTGACAATTTTTTTTAATCTTTCACAAATACTCCGCTTTTTATTAGTATAATATAATAACAGCAATAAAAGTTAAAAATAGTTGCTATAATAATTATTATTGTTATAAAGCTATTTATTTTTAATAATAATAGAGCAAGGTTTTAAAGAGTAGATACTATTCGAAGGCAATAGTAACACAACGTCCATTATTTTGAGTTGGTATCTAGGTCGTGACTCATCGGCATTAATGAGGGTTCAAATCCCCTTGTAGACAAATTTTTTTCATGAAAAATTCTGGGCAGGAGTTCAGAATAGGCTAAAAAGCTACTCCGTATAAAACATTCTGGTACGTAACCTTGTGTAATAAAAAAGAAAATGAAAAAAATAAATATGAGAGAAAAAGTAAAGATGACTTGTTATTAAAGGTCACCTTTTGGTGTTTTGACTCGGGTTTTCGTAAAGTAGATGAGTCTATATGATGTTTTTTATAGTAAATGATTTTAAGAGACTGATATGTAATTGTACAAGGGTGTATTTGATCATTTTTCCTTTTTTTCCTATGGGTTCCCAATGAACTAAAAAAGTGTTGAAAGTTTCGTGGGAATCGTGGCAGTGTATCATGGTGATGAAGTCACATGGTAAGCACACAAAAAATAGCCTGCATTTAATGCATGTATATATTTCTATTTGAATGGATTCGTACATAAAATGATAAAAGCTAAAAGGTTTTGTACAATCCCCCAAACATCCTGTTTTTTTTTACTTTTGCAGCTCAGCTTACAAAAGGCAATAATCAGTCTTTTAAAGATTCCAATAGACTACAAAAGTTTGAAGAGTCATGCTTGGAATTGGCTTACAAAGAGGTATATCAGTTGAACAGGGTTCGTTCGGGTCCTCAAATGTTAATGCACTTGGTCTATTGGTCCAACCTTTTATTAAAAACTTAAGCGTCAAACACAGAAGATATCATTAATAGTGTACTAATGCAGTCTT